AATTATTTAATAATATATAAATGTCACTCTTCCACTTAGCAGCCCCACACGCAATCTCATTGACATTAACTAACCTGTGGACTCGGACAACAGCATCAGCTCTAAGAAAACTTTAGGTCAGTGCTAAGAAAACATGAAGAGAACGCAGAATGGAGTGCGCATGAGCAGAACGCGCTCTCAGACTCGGTTCTCTTAAGCGGCGAATTCAAAGTATTTTAATGAAATTTACGTCGCGACTTTACACAAAAAGAGCTAATGGCAATATAAATCCACATGGTATTCGGAAACTTTCTGCAGATGGGCAATAAGCGCTGAGGTTGACGATGCTCGCACTGTCAGCTCTGTGGCTACATCTGTGAATCTGCATGCATATATATGGGGATATATACATATATATGTAGATAACTGCTTTTAGTTGTATTTCTTGGGATGGCTGAGAACTGGGCAAATACAGCGGCGAAAATCAGTAATTAGCGTAAATTGAGTTGGTAAAAAGCGCAAGTGCTTAAATTCCGACCCGATTTACAGCCGGCTGACACCCAACTTGCCAACTTACTGTGGGCCACAATAGTCATTGCTTGTTGCGGTTGTCGCTGTGCTTTTGCTCTTCGCCGTGTCTTTGCTGTTGTTGTTGTTGTTGTTATTCATTATGTGGCAATTAGATGTCGCATTTGTGGCGAACCACGAGCCAGAACACACCCGATCAGGGTGTTCTGTCCTGACAGCAGGTGAAGCTGATTCAAAGCTTAGCGAGCTAATAAAACAAGTTGATTAATTTCGATGCTCCTTCTTGACCTTGACTGCCAGCCAGCTAGCTGTCAAGCCGCCAGGTTGCCACAGCCAAGCCAAGAATATTCGATTTCAATTTCCAACTTTTGCTATGAGAATGTTCGCCCGAACTTTAATCCATGCATTATCGTGTGTGTCTGCGCCAGTGTCTCAATATAATGAACAGCATGTGGCACGTCTAGGAGGTATTAAAGTTTTCAAAATACCAACAACTAAATACTTCGGATTTAATTTTCGACATTTTTATATCGTACTCCGGAAGTTTTCCAAGTTGGCGAACCGAACAGCAGTTGATCTTAATGTGCAGACTTTCAGGTGAATAAATAGAAACTTTTCACTTGCAACTTCATTTGCAATTTTGTGTATTGTTACACGAGTGAGGAGTTATGCTCTTGCCTTAGCATATTGAACCTCGTTCTCAGCGTATTATGATTTATGAATTTACTTTTAGTCTCCTCAAATAAATTGGACATTGGAATCTCCCCCGAGTAATGCAATCAGCTTGAGCATGGAATTTAATTTTCCAAAAGGGGTTCAGAGTTGTCCGGGTTGCCCAGGATTGAGCTGCTTTGTCTCTGTTACTGTGGCCTGGCCAGGAGCTGCAACTGGAAAACCGACGAAGTAATTCCAAATGCAAATGAATTCTGAAGAAATTTAGTTACTACAAATTTACGTATTTTTCGCCCTGACAGGCAACTGTGCAAATGAGTTTTTGGCACAGTGCGACCCTTTTCTCTTTTCAGCTCCGCTGACCAATTGAATTGGTTTAATTTGTTGCTGAAATGTTCGTGTGGCATAACTAAGCAACAATTGCATTACGCTACACAATGTAAAACTATCTAAAGTTAAGATTAAATTCGAGCACATCCTCCGATTGTTCTCACTTCCTGCCAGCTAATACCAGTCAACATAATCAAGCTACCAAATGGCAGCCCACTGCCAACAGCAACAGCAACAGCAATAGCAAAGGCAACAACTGCAACAGCAGCAAAAGCAGATGGCAGCAGCGACAGCAGATGGCAAAAAATGAAGTGCCAATGCGTGTCCTATATGCCAGTGGAGTAGATAAAAGGGCTGGCGAGGCATGGTGATGGGGCGGTGGGGTGGTGGGGCTGGATCTCGGCACTGATGAGTTCACTTCACTGAGCAAATGAAACGATATTGTTGTCAATTTAGGTGCAACAAAGAACAACAACGAACGTCAACCAGGACAAAACAAACAGCATGTACGATGGCGACAAAGAATCCAAGAGCTTACTGTCGGCCCTGGCAGAGGGCAAGCGTGGCGCTGGCCAGCAGAGAGGACTGCATGCGTTGACTGCATGAGGCGTATGCCAGCAAAGGCAAACAACAACAAATTGCATGTCCTTCCGCCTTAGATGCAGCACACAAAATACGCACTCATATTTACTCTATCAGGTTTATAGACGCCTGCTGCGCAGGGAGGGGCGAGTGGCTGCGCCGCATTTGAGACCCACCTGCAGCATTAATGAAAACCTTAAGTGACCTGCTACAGATACTCTTAGGTAAATTGGTTGTTTGAAACCAACTGAAATGCACCTGCAGCGACAAATGACAAACACACACACATACAGACGCAAACTGCGCTGTTTTAGGGTTTCTCCACATGCACAAAGCTGTAATCGTATATTTTCGGCTAAACTAAGTGATGCGAACAGAAATTGTCAAAGATACAAATAATAGAAAATCATTCAATTCAGAGTATTTACCAGTAAAACTCTATAGGATGCAGTTTGGATATATCAGCCATATCTTTTTGTCACCCCAAGTATACTTGCTAAATTGGACAGACTGGAATATGGACAGACGGAGAGACCGACAATCAATATGCTCGCTTTTTAAAGTTTTGCTTTTAAGAAACTCTTCTTCAGTATTTATTGGAGTGAATTCCATAGTAAATTGAAATAAATAATTAAATTATGATGCAGTGGAGTCAAATAAATTAAATAAATAAATTACGCGTTACACTTAGGTTAGGTTAGGTTAGACTACATTAAACTGGCTGTGCAAAAGCAGGCAACTGTCCGTCCGCCTAGTCCTTAGAGTCTGACGACCTCAACGCCCTGCGGCGCGAAGAGGGACTCGGCTGCCAATTTGAGCTTCTCGTTGACCAATTTGGCGATTTTGGGTGTGCGGCGCCAGACGAATTCGCGGGTTCTGTCGTGATTGTCCTTGCTCTCCACCTCGACCTGCACATGCAAGGGAAAGGGAAATGGCAAATGGCAAATGGGAAATGGTGAGGAACAAAGAATGAAAGCTAATTGCTCAAAGGGTTGACTGGCTTACCTGCTTGGGCTGCTGCACCTTGATTGACATCAGGGTGGCCCGATCATCCACCACACTGAACTTAATGCGGCCGATCATCTCGTTGGTTCTGGCCGTTGCGCTCTTCACGTTGCGCACGCTGCCCCGCTTGAAGGACTTCTCGACGCGCAGAGTCAATGGGCCCAGCGTGAATCTGGCCTTAATGGTCGAATTGCGTCCTTCCGCATCGCTGATCACCTTCACATTGCCCACACGTTTCAGCGACGCCAGGCCGGACAGGCTGCCCTCCGCCTTTTGCAGCTTCTCCACTTCCGCGCCCGCCTTGCTGGCCCCCACGCCCGCCGGCTGATTGTAGCTGCCGCTGCCCGCCTTCAGCCCTGTCTTCTTCGGGCTGTGCTTATGCGTCGTCTGCTGGCCAGCCGTGGATTTCTTTGGGCTGGCCTTGCTCGTCGCCTGCTCCCCATTGAACACTGTGCGCGTTTCCGCTTTACCAGAGCCGGATGCCACGGCCTGTTGCGTCTGCTGCTCCTCCCCCGTTCGCTGCTCGCCGACTTTGAGGCCAAGTTCTGTCTGTAATTGCGTCAATTGCTGCTGCAATTTGACCGACTCCGTGCTACTGGCCATGCGCGGCTCCGATCTGGTATTCTTGCTGCAAGTCAGAGAGATTGACAAATTTGCATAATTTGACTTTGACTATGACGTTGACGTTGACGTTGACTTTGACTTTGACATTGCTGCCAGGTTAATTGGCTGTAAGCTTTATGCCATCTGACAAAGCAGCCAAAGAGCAAAGTGCATCGTTCGCTATGAGACTGCATTACTTTGAGTCGAGAGATTCACGAACTCTTTTGGAGATACTGTGCTATACATTTTAGATCTTATATATATGCTTTGAATACTTTCATTTAAATGATTAATCGTAAAGACTTCTTCTCATCTGACTATATTTACCGGGATAATATATTTTTAATTTATTAATATCTTTACGTATAGCATATATAATATATTCTATATATTGTCACAGATAATCTTTTTCTAATCTAGCAATATATTCATGTATAGCATATTTATAATATAATATTTCTATATATTGTCAAGTTCTTCCATTTGTTCACTTACAGTTTCTTGTGCGATGTCTTATGGCTGGCATTACCCTTGGTCTTCGTTGTGCTCTTCACAGCAGTGTTCCCATACGTGGGCGTGGCCGTGGCCGAGCGCCCAGCCAGTCGGACAACAAATGGGTCATAATTGTCGGCGACAATGCGGTTTATGCGAGAGAATATGGCATCAATGAAGTGATTATGGCGCGCTTGGAATGCATCCGTGGACATGTCAATCACGTTGTTTATCAGATCACCTGCACCGCACCATAGAAGATGTCACGTTAATAAGCTCTCACGACACTCGCTTAAAGGTTCATTTTGTGGCTTTGTGTGTTCGTTTCAGCATGAGGGAAAGTGTGTGTGTGTGGGTATTTGGGCCTTTGTGGCTAGCTTTGCGTTAGTGCGTTATTGAAGTGTGTTTTCAATTGCGGATGAGTCAACTAGTGGAGGCACGCATAGAGCCCATCACACACAGTGCACCCGTGCAGCCCAGCAACTGGGTGGGTGAGTGAGCGGGTGAATGAGGTGGGGAACAGGCTTGGTTTAAATAATGTTGCGCGAATAGCATTAAAGCAGCATACCCATAAGCTTGTTCATGCATGATGAATGTATAATATCACACAGATTTAACATAACGGGAACTCAACACCGATGGTTATTAAGCAATATATATATAAGCAATCAATTAGTACTTTAATATTCATATTAGTTCATTAGCTATTGACTAGTTTCAAAGCCAACCATTTCACCTTCGCGATTTTTATTTGTTCTGGCCAGCTAGTTTAACTCTAAATTTGACTACAAAATCATTTAATGAAATTATAGCACAATGACTACGACAAAGTTAATGAGGGCAAATGTATTTATGCTTTCATAACTATTTATTGAAAAGCGCTTTCATTAAGTTTTCCTTCCATTCCTTTGCCAAAAGCATTTACTGGGCTACTTATCGTTAAATATTTTTAGCTACTTTCAGCTTGTTCTGCATGCGAGTGTTAGTAAGATGCTTCTCTCTCTCTCTCTTTCTCTTTCTCGTTCTCTTTGTCCACCCTTCGCTTATGCACATTTATAGAGTGCCCCTATTCAGGTGAAACGTTTAACATCAACTTTGTCCTTTAGCTGTGCCAATTAAAGCTGAGCATAAGTTCATTGCGCCCGGTATTCGTTTGGCATATTTAAAATAAATGTAATAGTCGCTTTTTATAGAACACCCAGTACCTATATATAGGTGCGAGTGCATTGGGATGTGGGGTGTGCAAATATAATATTATGAGAGACAGGAGTCCAGCCACAAAGGGGATAAAAATTATTTACATGTGTCATAGTGTAATACATACTTAATTGAGTGCATTGCAGAGAGTCAGAGCTGATGCTGCTAATAATAAGAGTGAAGGAGAAAGAAAGAAATACAGAGGGAGAGACAGAGTAAGTGTGTGTGTGTGTGTGCGAGAGTAGAGAAAGTGGTGCAAATACCTTGACCATTATGCAAATCGTGACGCTTGAAAGTAATCGACGGACTCATTTTAAATAAAACACAAATTCGGATTTTTTTAGTTTTTTCAATTGATTTGTCAGAAAGTCGTACACAAATTTAATTAAAAATTTATTGAAGCAAATCTTTTGTGTTTGTGTGCGTGTGCAGCTTTGTTTTGCTTATGTTGTTTGTTTGTTTTTTGTTTTGTTTTTACAATATATAATAAATAAATAAATAAATAAATAATAAATTACAAATTTAATGAACCTAAACGCAAAGCTTAACAATTTGTGCAATGAAAATGTTGATGGAAATGGCGTCACTTTTCATTTGGGATAAATTTGGCAAATCGTGCGCTGCCTTTCAAGCGTTCAACTTTTAGCTACAATTTACAGTTGGTTTAATTTCGTTTCAGTTTTGGTTGACTTTTTGTTTCTTGTTTTGTTTACTCTAATTACAATTTTACATTTGCGTTATTTACGTTTACGGAAAGTTATGCGAGCCAGAAAGAAGCCAAAAACGAGAATAGCCAGCGATTAATCTTTGATGTCAATTGTAAGCCAAATGTGTGAAAGCGTGAGTGAAAGGGAAAGTGAGCGACAGAGACAGAGACAGAGATAGAGGGGGATTACACATATAGTAGAAAAGTATATATAGAATAGGATTCGCGTATATCGAAGATGCATTGATARTTTCTCCAATAGATTGTTGTTGTTGTTGTTTTTGTTGTGAACAGTAAAATTAATAACAAAGTAAATGTGAAGCAAGAAAAAACGAATTAAAATTATTATCAATAAATTACGCTATGTGAACAATTATTGTTGCTTCTGTAGTAGTTCTTGTTGCTTTACATACATAAATTTAGCTATGCGTGTGTGAGGGAGGGGGGAGAGTGTGGGTGTGTGTGTTTATGTGCGTGCCACGCGAATGGCAACAAAAATGCCTGCCAAAATGGCCGCTCGCCATTCAGCTCAGCCATTTTTGCCGCATTCCATCGCGCGCGCATTTTACTTTTATCTTTTGCATTTCGGTTTTTTGTTTTTCTTTTTTTTTCATTGCTCATTTTGCTCTGAACATAATTTCCACAATTTGTGCTTCGGCATTAAACATTTTGTTGCTGTGCGGTTGGTTGCTGTTGTTGTTGCTGTTGTTGTGATCTTGGTGGTCATGTGAAACAGTCCGTGCGTAAATAACTTGGAATATAAACGAAACAAGTGTGTGTGCGTGTGTGAAACAGTGAGGGGGTGGGGGGATAAATGTTGCATGTGCGTGCAGCTTAAAAGTTTGCAATTCTTTTGCTTTTGCTGTTGCTGTTGTTGTTGCTGTTTTTGCTGTGCTCTTTGCTGTCATTTTGCAGTTAGTTTGACTAGCACCAAACTCTCAATCAACTCATTTCGAGGATGTTGTACAAATATTCATTTACTTTAATATGCAAGTTTTTGCTTTTGTTTTTTGTGGTTTTTAGCTTTTAGTTTTTAGTTTTGCTTTGTGTAAACTAAAGATTTCTAAGACTCAGAAATAAATAAATAAATAAATTAGAAATAGGTTGTTGCATTGCAGTGATTGGATCGATTTGCTGTTTCGTTCTTGGGCATTAGGGATAGTCAGTGCAGGCAAAGAGTTATGCAATGTCCAGGAGATTCATTTATGTGTGTGTCCTACGCAAAAAACGTCTCGCAGTGCCCTGCAACGTTGTTAGTCATTTCAATGTGGTTTGCTAGTCCCTGTCATTGGCAGTTCCTGTTTTGGCTGTCGTTGTTGTTGTTGTTGTTGTGTGTCGTTGTTTGTGGCAGTTGTTGATTGTGTTTGCGTCTTTAATGCTTCAGCTCTTTTTTGGACTTCTTGGCAACACTTGTTGACTTTTTGGCTTTGGCTGTTTTTGTTGCTGCTGTTGACTTGGACTCACGTGCTTCGCGTCTGGCCTCGATGACGTCGTCGCCAATGATATCATCATCGTCATCGTCATCTTCGTCGTCGTCAGCCTCCTCGTCGTCACCTGTCAGCGCACCTGTAATTTCATCGACTCCATCATCAATATCATCACCACCATCATCATCATCATCATCATATTCATCGTCCTCGTCGTCGTCGTCGTCGTCTTCGTCATCAGACGCTGCACCGGCGCCACTAATACCAGCAGCAGGCGCTGCGATCGGCCCCGCTGACACGCCCACAGCGCCCACCGCCGACTGCGCCGGAGCGGTGCTGACGACTAGATCGTTGTTGTTATTATTAATGTTGTTATTCTTAAGAGTGTTCTTTGTTGATGTGGTTGTGACTGTTGTTGTTGTAATATGCTGTTGTGATGATGCTTGATGTTGTGTCGCATGTTGTTGTTGTTGTTGTTGTGGCAGTTGTTGTTGTACTTGTTGTTGTATTTGTATTAGGTTTTGTTTTTGTTGGTCAATTGCATTTGTGCTACTTAAACTATTGGTGCTACCACTACTACCGTCTACAAGTGCATCTTCATCGTAAAAAACATTTAGTTCACCTTCGTTGTTGCTATTGCTCGTCTGTGTCTGGGCGGGCGCTGCGGCTGCGGCCGCATCCTCAACGGCGTTGCCAGCTGCAACGGGCTCGGCAGCGTTGCCACTCTCCGCGGGCAAGTCGACGCCGTCCGAGATGCCCGAGCTCAGCGAGCTGGCGGAGGCGGCGGGCGCAACTTCTTCGAGGGGCTGAGCGGGCGCGGCGGCCACGGGGCTCTGCTGCTGCGCACTGGCAGCGGGCACCACCTCGTCATCGTCGTCCTCGTCGTCGTCATCTGTTAATGAACGGGAAATGTACTCAATTTTTGCTGGCCAACTGCCGCCCCTCACGTGCGCGCCTTACCGCCCAAGATATCGTCGAACAGCCTATCCAGGTAGTCATCATCGTCGTCGTCCTCCTCGTCGTCATCGTCGCTGGCGCCGGCTGCTGGGGCTGCCTGGCCCTGGGGCGTGTCGTCCTCCTCCTCGTCATCGTCGTCCTCCTCGTCGTCGTCATCTGTAAACCCCGAAAGCAAAATAACTGTGTTACCCAAGGAAAGGAGAGCACAAGATATTCGTTAATAACGTCACACAAATGGTCAGATATCGTAGTTGCGAGTGGTGGTTGATCGTTGAGTGCCACTTGGTGGTTGCAGTTGCCACTGCAACTATGCAGCTTCAGTGGTGCTGGTGCTGGTGGTGCATAGTGCTCGGGGTGCGCGGGTGCTTGCTTATAGCTGAGTGAGTGAGTGTGTGTGTGTGTTTGGTGGATACCTACCATCATCATCATCAACCAAATCTCCCAGATCCGGCTCATCATCGTCGTCATCGTCATCATCGTCGTCATCATCATCGCTGGCCGGCGCCGCGGCCGGAGCCACCTCGTTGTTGGCCGTCTGCTGGCGGGACACCGCCCGCTCGCTCCTCGAGTGCAGCTGCACCGGCGAGGCCTCAATCTGCAGCAGCAGCGCACTCAGTACGCACAGCAAAATCACGAATTTCATTGTTGGTTCCTCTCTGCAACAGATGGAAATGCAGAAGGAGGGGAGTTAGCGAGGCAGGCCACAGCATTCGCACAGAACTTTTACTTTTGCGTTTAACCCAATTCGCTTGTGCTGTCCGAGTGCAACACTTTCTTTTCCATGACTTGTAAATTACATATTTATCGAACAAAGCCAACTCTGACTGGCCACCGAGTTGCCCAGCTAGTCAATAAGACGTCAAAGAAAGCAACCAAATAATTGCAGACACAGCGCGAGTGTGTGTACACGAGTGTGTACATGTGTGAGTGTGCGTGTAAGTGTAAACATGTTTTTGAACTGTGCCTCAAAGCTGCCGCCGGGCTGTGTCCACATGTCCACTTTGTTGGCACTTGACACACAACAACAGCAGCAGCAGCAGCAGCAGCAGCAACAGCAACAGCAGCCACTGAGGCTTCAACAGCAACAACAATGGTTTTCGGACAGCTGCAGGCGCCGCTTGACGCCACTGCCGTCGCCGCAGCCACCGCAGCAACCGCTGCGGCAGGTAAGACAGACAAAAGTGAGTGTATTGCAGCGGTACAGCACCTCGCCTGGCAATGTTGCTGGCAAACGTGCAAAGTCGACTGTAATTGACAGCATTAAGCTAGCACTTGCCGAATTTCGCAGATCTAGACACGTTTTCATTGTAGCTTCAAGTGAGGGCTCTCCTAATCAAATTTCAACTTTAATGATGTAAAAAGCTGAGCAGTTGTTATCAAAGCGAACCTGATTGAGTTTGCTTCTCGACTTTTATTTTTATCGGCTCTTTGCGGGTAAAGTTGTAAGCTCTTTGCAGGGTATTCACGTTGTTTACGTGCCCATCCTCATCTTTCCATTCGCATCGGGCTTGTTGCTGTTGCTGTAGCTGCGATTGCTGTTGGCTCTTTAGCCATGACAATCAGCATGGCCAACAGCCAATGGCTATAACAAACAACCGCAACAATTGCCGTTGCTCTTGTTGCTGTTGTTATTGTCGCACTGTCAAGTGCGACTGCCCCAAGTGAAAGCAACGACGCCGACGTCGACGTCGCTGTCGCTGTCGACTGCCATGAACAAGTTTTGCTGCGGCGATTTGCTGTTGTGTTGTTGTCGCTGTGGCTTTATCGTTGCTGGCTGCCTGTTCGGCCACTTATTGAAAAATGAGTAAAACGTTTTCAAAATCGAGTTCAGCTTAGCGCTGATAAGCAAACCTCGCTGGCCATAAAGCAAAGTGAAAACCCAGTGACCTACTGCCCGGCCCAGGCTAGAAGATCGGGCCAAGCGAAGTCAAGTCGCCAGTTGGCCAACGACTTGGGGTATGTGGCTATGGCTATGGCTGTGGCTGTGGCTGTGACTGTGACTGGCTGTGGCTTTTCTTTAAGGGCTTCGCCAAGCCAAAGATAAAGATAGCCCAGTTGATAAGCTCTGAGCGCAGTTTCATGGCGTCCAAGTAAGTCTCGCATCGCCACGACGCGACGCGATGCGATGCGATGCGCTGCTTAATTAAAACTTTTACGATGCCGCGTTTTCTCGAGCAGCGTTTATTAAAATCTGAAGCCCCAGGCAATGCAATGGCGAAAAGGAAGCGACATTTCGGGCGTGGCACTCCGGCGGAGATGACATATCACCTTCTCCTGGACCACGCCCCCATCTCTAGCAGCTGATGCTGCCAGGCAACGACAACCAACCAACGGAATGTGGCACTCAAATAAATTTCCGTAGAACAGCTCTCCGTATCCATTTGAGCTTGAGCTGGAGTCTTTGAAATTAAATGGACGAAATAACAGGCGATTTAAGCTATAAATACTCGATTTAATACATTTTCTTAAAGATTCTGCACTATAATTATTTTGCGTACAAGGAATGTTGAGGAATTTCATCATTATCTTCCCATTGTACTTGCTGACGTCTCCTCAACTGCCAGCTACGGCTGCATCAGCATCTTCAGCTGGGTACTTATAAACTCTGGCTATTGAAGTCTTCGAAATAGCATTTACTTTGCTCGTGCATACGTCTTCTCTCACGCTGCTCCCGTGCTCTCGTGCTCCCATGCTTCGATGCACCTTGAGCTGCTCAATGTTCATCATTTTCTCACCTAACTCCAAACATTTTACGCATCATGCTATAAGGCCAACAACAAGAAAGAACAAGAACAACAACAACAGCAGCAGCAATGGGAAAACTTTTGACAAGCACAAGAGTGCGTGGCAGCCTCAGCACCACCCGCCCCACTTCCCACTTGCCACTGGCCCGCTCTGCTCCACCAATGGGAATGACAACCGGTTGGAGCTGTTGTTCTCTATTGTAGGCACTAACTCATATGGAACGTTGCTCCCACTATATTTTAATGTTCCATAGAAAAATGAAGCTAACCGTGTGTGCATTTTACATTAATATTCATGCGAGTGGGGGAGTGGCGGCATGTGGAGGCATTGAGTGGGGGGAAGCACAACGAGAGTGTTTGCTGTGCACTTGCATGACAGCCAGCAAAATTACTTAAGCTCCTCACCCACCCACACACACACACACACACGCTTGCTCACAATGGGGATTATTGAGACCGATGGCAGAGGGGCAGCCCTCCGCAGCCACTTGCTGGGCGCATCGACTCCTGCTCCGCTCTAGCTACGTATGCATTGTCATATCAGCGTCATATCAATAAATATCTTGGCCACACAAAAGGCTGCGCGGCGACGCCTAGAAAAGTGTCTCAGGATTTGCATATCAGTCTGTTGCCATCGCTATTCAGGAGCTCTCGAGTCTTTGTTGAAGCTCGCCTCCAATGTGGGATGGCTGGGCGACTGCTGCTGGTGCGGTTAATTTTCCAAGACAATGGCAGCAGCGGCAAAGTAGAAAAATAATCTTTACACGTGCCGCTTGAACTGCCTCGCCCCATGCTGCAGCACCTGCAGCAGCAGCAGCATTTAGACAAGACTCTCCCTCTCTTTCTCACACACACTCAAATATGTTGCAATATTTTATATCCATCCCGCTCTCTTTTTGCATGCACAACGCATGAATTAGAAGCTGCTGCAGCCGCATCAGCGCCACCTGGCGGAACAAAAACGCACATGCTGCATGACTGCTCCTTAACCAACTAATGGACGCGCTAGACGTACTTAGAGTTTTTCAGCATGCACACCCTGAGCTTAGAGCAGAACTGTTGATGCCAATATGTTCAGGGTATTCTTCGAATCAATTGATGATCTTTGTTTAACTTTAAAATATTTAATTTATATTTTTTTAGAGAACTCTTTATAAGAGTTTTGTTTTCTAAACAGAATTTTTTCATATCAAAAATTTGATATTTTTCACTAATGATTTACAGGATTTAGCAGTTAGCCATAAAGCATCTTCTATTATTCGAGGCAGCATCAACTATTTATATTTCTTTGTATCGTAAACGAAAAAAAAAAAAGCTGTCAAATTTTGGAGTATGTGATTTGTTCAGTGGTCTCACTCAAATTTCTTGGGAATGCCACAATGTCCGTGTCGAATATTTCTCCCTTAATAGCTTCTACTTGTCCTAAGTGCATGTCAGCTGTATTTGTTGTTGCTGCTGCGGTTGCTGCTGCTAGTGATGTGACTCTTTGGAACAACACTTGAGAATGTTTTGTTTTGGCAGCAAAGTGCAGAAGCTGTGCAAACTAACGTAAACTATAACTGCGATGCCAGGAAACACTTAAATTAGCCACTGTCTGGAATGTGGGTCAGTTTGTAAGAAGCAACCTGAGAGAAGGCATGAGAGATTACTCAACAAGGCGGCTGCTGCTGCTCCTGCTGCTGCTTCTCCTGCTGCTGCTGCTGCTGACCACAGAGCACACATGAAATGGCGTGGAGCTGGGTTGCATGGCTCGTATGTGGGGCAGAGCGCACATAAAAAAAAGCCGGGAGTGGCTCTAAATTGCTGCGCTGATACAATTTATGGCCCCAGCCAGTTAAGAGCCTGGGTTCGAGTTTGAGTCGGTTTTGGTTTTTGTAAGCTCTCGAAAATCAATTAAAAGTTCTTGCTCAAGACGCTGCCGGAGCGTCCTCTCTCTTTCTCTTTCTATTGGCCGTTTGTGGACTGTTTTATGGGTCAGCAGCAATGCGCTTGGCTGGGCTAATCGCTTTGCATGCCAATCGCTTGCTTGGCCTTATCATTCGAGAGTAACACACACACGATACGTTGTAACGATAGTCCTCGGGCTTAAACACTGTTAATCCAATGCTAACCTCGAGCTGCCCTTGGTTTTGATAATGTTGATCGATTGTTTGAGTGATGTTGTTCAGCTTTAGTTTCTTCACACACCATACATAAGTTGTCGAAATGTTTGTTTAGTTTAGTAGTTCGTGTTACGAAAACCGATTTGTGTTTGAGTGCAAGTGGCCGTTGCTCACTCCTCGAATACCCGTCAAAGACTGTCGCTGTTTGAGCTTCTTTCGTATGGTTTTTAGCCTCATGCGATTCTGGACTGACTTTCTTTTTTCAACGCTTGCTTTTACCTGTTTCTCGCTGGGGGAGTTTTTGGTTTCTGATTGTGATTGTGGTTGTTGTATTTTGTTGTTGTTGTCGAGCTTCGATGTTGGCAATTTTCACACCGCCGCGCACACAACTGTCTCGCACGACTGACCGTCTGCAACTGATCGAGGCTGGAATCTTCAGTTACCAGCATAGTTGTAGACGACACCGTGAAGACGTTTAGCAGTTCCCCAACAATTTGTTTGCATTGCTTTCTTTGTGCTCTCTTTTCATGGCATTCCTCTCTCGCTCTCTATCTCTCTCCCACTCCCACTCGCACTCCCACTCTCTCTCTCTCTCTAGCCCACTCTTCTATCTCGTTTTCTTGCTGGCCAACTTGATTTTCAATCAATTTTGGACATGCGCTCGCCGGCGTTCCTATGGGAAAGTATTTGGCACAGTAAACAACTCGTTATTACAGTTAGCAACCAAACAGGCTTGACTGAGAGAATTATCAGATTAAATGGGTAACTGATTTTTTTTTTTTTTTTTTAATTTTTAAACATTTTTCAATACTTTTTCGGCACTCAAATTAAGATTATATGACATAATATTTAAATGCAATTTAGCTTTTATATGTTTTAAATGTTTGGTTTTCTGATTTTTAACTCTTTAACATTAGCATTTGAATGGAATTCTTGCGGACACTCCCTTGACCTACTTCCCGCATTCCCGTGGGTCAACTCTCTTGGCTTGGACCTTTTGAAGACCGAAGAACGCTCGAGCATATCGCATTTGGCTATGTGCGACTTTTATTGATGAGCGTTTTTTCGCGCTCGGTCAATAAAAAGTGCTAATTTCTGTGCTCGAGTGCCAAGCGCAAGCACATTAAAGTGAAATCGCCAGCCATTGAGCAGTTGACTTTAGCCAAAAAAAAAAAAAAAAAAAAAAAAAAAAAAACTTTAAGAAAAGTGTTACTTATAGCTCTGACAACTTGTAATGTAATTAATTAAACTTGCATTTCATTTTCAATGTCCGGGATGGTGTGGAAAATGGTTCGGCCAAGGGGTGGGGATTCGAAAGGGGTTAAAAGCAAAGCTTTCCCATGCACACACACACGCAGATACACACATGCACACACTCACACATGGACGCTCTCACTAATATACGACAAAAGCGTCGCTGGCCGCGCAGTCGACGCGTACAACAGTAAAACGTGTTCTACTCGTTTATAGCGGGCTATTGCTGGAGCAGTTGTTGCAGTTGTTGTTGTCGTTGTAGTTTTTCTAGTTGGGCAAAAGTTGTTTTTACTGTAGACGAGAGCTTGGGCTGTCTATAACTTTCTTCGCAAGTTGTTGTCGCTGTTGTTGTTTTTGTTGTTGCCGATGTTATTGAGACAGCAGGCCAAGTATGTAAGCCTTTGCGAAGCATTTCAGTACAGGTCAGTGGAGTTTTCTCAACTTAAAAACTTAACTCGACTTGCCGACGTTTTCAGTCTTTTGCCGCAGAATGTTACGAAATTTTATGTAATGTGTCGAAAAACAAAAACAGAAATGGCAAAAAACAAATATATCTAAAAGTATATAATAAAAAGAGATGCGACCAACGTCAACAACTGGCCGAGAAAGACAACAAACTTTGAAAAAGGCTACATATTTTCGCTTGACTAATTTCTGGCTATTCTGCTTAACGCTTAAAGCGCCATTCAAAGCGGCTGGTGCATTGCCTGAAACCTCATGTAATTCACCCTCTTTGTGGTTTAATTTACTTTGACATTTGCGTTGGTAGCACCACTCAGGTGGCAAGCCGAGAAAACGAGAAACAAACAACAATTAAACGTAACGCAGCCCGACTGCTCTGTGAAAGGGGCGAAGCTGTTGGCTTGTCGACTTGGCCAACTGTTGGGGCCGGCCAAAAGAGCAGCCAAGATCAAACTTGGTTGCAGCTAATCAAAATGTAATTTGCCATTTGCTGGCTTTGTAAACATTTTCAAAGGCAAATCAACGGGGCGCACCAGGCAAGCCGGCGCTCCTCCGCGGCTCCAACTTGGAGACGTCGTTGCTCCATTTGACTAATTAATTTCTCAACTTTCTTGCAGGCGGAAAATGATGAAAATGCGGGTATCTGCGGCTGATTAGTTTTCGCAGCTAGCGAAAAACTTTTTTTGGCTTACATGTTAATTTTGGAGTTTGCTTGTGGATTTGCTCATCTCTCATTTGTCAAGAGGCTATGGGAAATACACTTGGGCTTATTTTATTATTGCATAGCTCCGACTAATCAAAAATTTGCTACATTTTGAGTTATGGAAGTGGGCCTCAATATAGAGACAAAGCGGGGCAGAGTATCTAGTTCCTATGTGCTTGGTTATTATAAAATGTTCTATAGAACCAGAGAACTCAGGGAATCCAATCCAGTCGAAGATCTGAGTAACATATTTTAATAGTGTCATGAGTAAATGTATAAGTCTATCCTTAAGTGTCCTAGGAATAGCCACATTGTACTTATAGAAATGAATTTACATTTAATTCCAAACCATGGGAATGCGAAAGAATATACTGAGATTCCAAATTTTAGGGACATGAGCGTAAGGAATATAATTTAAGTTTGATAATCGAAATAATTAATAACAGGAAGCATCAAATTTTCTTAAACAAATCTCCATACATATCACAGCGCAATTTTATATATATATTTCTGTCACCTTTTCTAGAGTTATACAAATATTTTCGTTTAGCTTAGACCTCGTTACTTCTAATACAATATAATTCTTTTTGTAGTTATTTTTATAGCCACTATTTATTATTTTTATGGTATAGCAGCTCAGCTCCTAGACTAAGCTATCTACATTTCTATCAAGCGGCAGTAGTCTAAATTAGGGATTCATATGGAAGAGAACTAATGCATTTATTTCATTTCCCATAGCCTAATAATAATATATAATCTATCTAYCTGTCCCGCAAAGGTCAACAGAGTTTTCGGCAATTAGAAACGCAGTATAAACAATCGATTTCGCTGCGCACTTAATTTTAGCCAGCCAGCTCGAATTATTTATATCCAGCTGACACTTTGTTCTCATAAGGCCAATATTAATTTGAGTGCCTGGCCATTGCAAACTTAATTGGCAGTTGCTGTGGATCTGTGGCTGTGTGCTGTGAATAGGCGTTTAGCGCTTGCGATATTCGTGGCTGCTTCGCTTAGGCAATCCAATTTGTCGACTCTCTTTTCCGGCTTCGTTAGCGAGCAGTCACACAATATTGACGTTGTCAATTAAATGCTAGAAATTATTTGATTACCATCCGTTTTTCTAACCAAACCAAACCGAGCCAGCTCCACGTCTCGAAAAAGTTTCGCTTTTCTTTCGGCGCTGAGCAGCCGCAAAAAGTGAAATAGAAATACCTTGCTAAGTTTTATCTCTCTGCACGTGTGTTGTTATTGCTGTTACTGTTTTTATTGTTGTTGTTGTTGGCTTAGGTGAGATTATGCATGAAAGCGTGGCTTTGTGCCCAGAATAATTAGCAGGGCGTGTGCGGGGGGCGGAGGTCTTTACAATTGTCTGTAAAATAAGAGGCTAGCCACCTGCCATCGAGCGCGTGTGGCTGCCAACTAATCGATTTTCAAAGTGGTTTTTAGATAGCGACTATCTATCTGCTGGTGCCTGATTATATGCGAAATGCGTGCTAACAATTTCATTTGTTGAAAACTCGAATATGCGGTGGCAAGCCAGGCCACAGAAACTGTCGACGCGGATTTGTATTGAGACTCGGAATTGGGTTTGGGTTTGGGYTCGAGCTTGTTGTTGGTGTTGAATTTCATTTGCACATTATATTCAATTTTTCATGCTATGCATTGCCACTGACTGAACCCAAGAGGTGGTAGCTGTTGYTGTTGTTGTTGCTGTTGTTGTTTTTTGATGAATTCATTCACGTACAATTCCCAACGATAACGACAACGGCAAAGGCAACGGGTACGACATCGGACGGCAATGCTGTTGACCGTTAAGCCAGCTCCGAGTGCCAAGCTTCAAGTTTCCAGCTCCAAGTTCCAAGTACCTTCCTGTACTTTTGTGCTGCTCATTTCGCATTCAATGAGCGGCGCATCCATCGAACGAAAGCCGAGTCGGGCCAAGCAATTTCAATACGCACCGGCGAAAAATAATATAGAAAAAAGAGAAAAAAAAACCAAATGGTAAATGAAAGTGCCCTCAAAATGTTTTCTAAATTTGTGCGCTTGGCCCGAAGTCTTTTGGGTTGGGCAACGGATACTTGACCATGCCCATCTCTATATCTATATCTGGCTGATTTAATTGTGTCGCATTGCAATGAATATGCAGAGAGAACTTAAGCTCCGAGCCGAAAACTCGTCTTTCGTCTTTCAATTAGCGAAAGTCTGCCACCAGAAGAAGCCTTTCATTGATATGCATATTAATCGTTCTACAAAAAGAAAAAGTTGTCAACGACGTCATTTAATTGATGCCCATTTTTAAATTCATAGCATCTTATGGCGGGGCCAATAACCAATGAGAAACATACCGAAAAAAAAGTATAATCAGAAATAAATTAAAATAAAAAATAGAATACCGAACAAAGCCTATCGAACAAAATAAGAAACAAACGAAGAGCCGAAAAAAATAAACAAAGCGACGCCGGCCAGGTGGAAGTGGACGCATCACGAGCCACTCTCGAACAGGAAGGGAAAGCTGCAGACGAACGTGTTACTTTGTAAGCAGCTGTATACGTGTATGTGTATGTGTGTGTGTGCTTGTATTTGTAACTGAGTTTATGTGGGGCTTGCTTCGCAGCTTCAAAAAAAGAAAGAAGAAAATAAAAGCAAAAGTCTGATGTGGCCTCTACATGAGCATTACGGCAAGAAATTGACATTCTTGGCCTCCTCGCTCGCTCGCACGAGCACAGTGCAGGCAATTCGAATAAGTAAATACAACAAACACAGCAAGTTAAATACCAAAAACTGGCTACAGGCACTTTCTCTTTCTTTCACTGCCGATAACGGCAGCAACAACAACAACAACCACAGCAACAACAGCAGCAACAACGCCGACAACGACAACAGGTAACAACAACAACCAAAAGGGAAGCAGAAAATCAACGACTGGCATCCACAGCAAATACAAAATAAATAGACCAATTGCTCTTATTACAATTGTTGTTGCTGCCCTCAGGCAATTTATAATTTAGTCATACATAAACGCCCATGCACACACACACACACACTCATACATATATTTATTAGATTCTACGAAGAAATTCACTTCAAGTGTTTTTGGTAATTGACACTGAGATGGCAATGAAATGGGGGCGGGGCAGGAGCCGTGTGGGCGTCACAGCTGACTGCTGTGGGCGTGACT